CCATGACTTTCCATAAATTTTTTTGATAAACTACTAGGGTAAAACATCCAGTACTTGCAATGCGCTAAGCTATTGTCACTTTGTCATTAAAAAACATGCAGACTAAAAACTATCTGCTAGAAAGTTCTGAAATCATGTCTGAAAAACTTGAATGTTGGCATTATATCTTACTAAAGTTTGACATAAAGGCACCAGATCTTTTTAAAAATCAAGCAGGGACCATAAGAGTACATGGTGAACACTAAGTATTTTACCTTATCTCTAAAGAATAATTTTTATTGTGCAGAAAAAAATTACTCTTTTGAGGATTTTGCATGAAAATATTTTTCTTTTATATAAATATTTTAATTTATTTATTTTTTCAAAAAAAATGTTCAAAACTTTACAAAAATAAATAATAAACATTTTTTTATTAGATCAATTTATGAACAAATATATAACAGCTATATGCACATGAAATAGAACTAGAATGGCTAACATAACTTTATTTTTTAGACTTCAGGTTTCTGAATAACAAATAACTATTAACTAATTTTTGTACAAGAATTACTATATCAATCTTTTTTTTTTTATGATTAAAGTGATGCAGTTAAAAATTTTGTATAAAAATATACATGAAAAGTTAAACCATTTTACAGTCATAAAAATAAAAAACTTTCTTTTAAGATACGAAATGGCTAAAACTTAAATTAATTTAAATGACTTTTAAACCTGCTTCTAATTTTAAAACTGTATTATCTAACTGTTCAATAAGAGTTTGCTTATCTTTTACTATTCCCCTAATAGCCAACAAATCCATGGAAACAAATTTAACCAACAAATTCATGGAATCAGATTTAACCAGCAAATCCCTGGAATCAAATTTGCTTGAATGCTAAAACATTCAATTTCTTCAGTTAATGTAACAATATTCAATCAAATATCTTTCTTTCTCTTTCTCACATCATTAATTTTTTCAATGATGAACATTCTGTTTTTGCTTTAATAGTAGAGACATTTTTCTTTTTATTTTCATCCAAATAATGTACATATTGAGAACTTGCAACTTTTTGAAAAATGAGCCAATCCAAATTCTTTTTTGTTAATTGTATTATCTGTAGATAGAAATGCTACATTATCCACTACCATTTTCTTCAAAAGACTTGCAGTTTTTTAACAATTTTGCATAGTAATGCAATCTTCTTTAAATTTGTTTTTACCACCAAATACTTATTCAAATGTGGTGCAAAATCCTTAAAGAAATCTAACTTTGCTTGACAAGGTTGTTCTTAAAATGACTTATCAGTACATCATAAAATTTACATTTTGCTTTTGCTAAGGCTTTTACAGTATAAAGGACATAAACTTTATTTTCAGAAGCAATTTTTTATGATCAGATTTATGCATACCATGGTGTTAATCAGTTTAATGCAAATCATGTCAATATATCCAGATATTTTTATTGTGATCTTAAAACTAGAAAGATCATCAACCCTAGTTTATGAGCATCTTATATCCTTACCCAGAATTCAATTAAGAGGTTTATATCAGAGTTTTCTTAAGTGCCATAAGTTCATAACTGAAGTAGGTTGTACTGGATTAAATATTACCAGTAGCAGCAGGATCTTACATGACCAGAACATAATTGATTGATTGATACAAACTCAAACAAAATTTATAAATGTATTTTGATTATTTATATAATTGATATTTCATTTTGAATAATACTAAAATTTAAACTTCAAAATTTAATCTTCTAAAAATGGCAATTCAAACTGATTACAATAAAACAATAATCTATATCTTACACAGCAATATCTTTTTCAAAAATTTGTTTTTAGACTAGACATACTTTTCTACTAGCTATAATTAGTACAAAATAAAGATCATTTTAAAAAGTTCAAAAACTTTCAAGACTTTCAATGAGTATATTTTAATGAATATACTTCAAGACTGCTTCTACTGGTAATGAAAACTTAGAAATTCAATAACTTTTTCCATTAGCAAATGAAATCATTTCCATGATTTCAATTATTTCCAGTTGCTACCCTGTACCACAGTGGCTTCCCTGTAATGATATCTAAAAAATCTTCTGTAAAAAAATATTCATGTTATTAAAACTAGAACACAAAAAAAACAACTAGAACACAAAAAAGGATTTAAATGAAATGATTTCTAAAAATTACAAACTAAATTACAACCCAAAAAAATAAAGCAAGGTTGGAGAGAAAAAGGAAACAAAATATAAATTGGTTTAATCCATTGCACAACAATCCACCAACATTGAAAAATTTTCTTTTAATTCATAGATATTCATTTCTGACGCTCACAACCCACACAAACTGTTAAATCAAAATAAAAGTTGCTCAAACATTTCGAAAGTCATAAAAAGCTGCAACAAAAAAGTAACTCAAAAAGCTGTAAATTTACCATTGAATTGCAAACTTAGTGAATTCTGCCCATCAAAAAAAAACTGTATAATTTATAAATGCAAAACATCTTCCCCAAACACAAAAGTAAAGAATACAATGGCTTGTCAGAGGGTGTGTAGAAAAAAAGAAGGCATATCATAAACAAACATTTAAAAACAAAATGCAAGCAAATGGTAGCAAATGCAATCATAATCTCAAATTATTATTTGGAACTAGAAAAATATATGGAAATAATTAAGAGAATATTAATGTCTTGCATGGTAGTCGAAATGTTTCTTCCATCAACTGTAGTTTTAAAGAGAAGGCTAATAAACCAGACCAGAAAAAGTTGAAAATAAAAACTTAAATAAATTTTTTTTTAAATGATAAAATGCTTGCCCAAACCAAACCCTAAGTCGATGTTGCGGCACTTCCTTGTAGCAGCAGGCTTTAAGATTGTTGATGTAGCAGCACTTCCTTGAAGCAGCAGGCTATATAATAATTAATGTAGCAGCAATTCTTTGAAGCAGCAACACTCTGCTCATGTTTTAAAAAATGTTATTTTAAAAAACAAAAACACCATTAATTAAAAAAACTTTCTAGTCATTATTATGGTTTTTAAAAAAAAAGATAAAACATAATGTACATAAACATAATGTACTTCCACATTATTTTAATTGTTTTAACTTTTAGACAACATTAAAATGTAGCTGAATTGTTGAAGTCGTGAATGTTGTTAAAAGAAACTTTTTTTTATCATAAAAGTCTCTTTTGACTATGATATAAGGATATATAGATAACAAATTGCATAATTTTTTTTGCTTATATTTATAGCATACATTGTTTTCCAAAAAAAAGAGGAAAAAATGAAGAATAATGAAAGAAAAGATTGCTGCCTCATGTCATAGTCAATGTAGTGGCACTCTTTTGCAAAATTTATTATAATATGTTATATTACTAAAAAAGTAGAAATGCATTGGAAATGAACTTTTGCAGCTGTCAATGAAATACTTTAAGGGTTGGTTTGAAATTGCTCTGACTCTGAAATTTAAATCATTTATGTACTGAAATTTAAATCATTTATGTACTTATTTTGATCAAACCTTTCAAGCGCAGTTTTCCATTCCAAGCGCAGTTTTCCAAGCGCAGTTTTCCATCATATTCATCCTTAATTTGTCTAGATTTTTTACCCGCACTTCAACCTTTGGAGATCTTCGGACTCATACAACTTACCAAGTCTTTTGTCAACAGTTAATTCTATTTAACTCCATTTTTTAGTTAATTCCATTTTCTAGTTAATTCCATTTTTTTTTTCTAGTAACTTCTAACCTAATAGAGGTTATTTGCAGCCTTATTTGGAGTGAATAAGAAAAAAATTTAAAAAATGATTTATCGTTGATACTTTTTGCGTAATTGAAAATCTGCTTTAGTGTCTGGTTTAAAATGCGTAAATGGTTTTAAATGAAACACTAATGCATTTGTAACATTTTATTAAATGTTTTTAGATATATAAATTAAATAGAAAGACTAATTAATAAAAATTAAGTATACAGAAATTAAAATGAATACAGTAATTACTATGAATTTATTAGTAATTTACTAGTAATTAAAATATTACAAGTATTATAATTATTTTAGCACATACCCTTAAGCTCTTAAACTATAGATAGATATATAGAATACAGCTTCATCATAACTATCTAAGTCTTGTTTTATACTTTCAACATTTGAATGCAACTCCTTTACAGACTCAATTTCATGGCCTTCTTTTTCTTCTACAACTTCCTTTTTTTTTTCTTCAAAATTTTATTTTTACGCTTGGACATTTGGAATGGTTGCTCTGGACATATTAAAACGTTTTTGATTGAATTTCAAACTGTATGATTATGTAATGTTTTGAGGGTCGAAAATGAAAACTTTAAATTGCTCTAAAATACTTGGATAAATGTATGATTCAATAAAAGTTATGCAAGTGGAAGCTGCCAAAGTCACACTTGAATAGTTCTCTTCTAAATAAGTAATTGGAGCCTCAACTGAAGATGACTCTGATAACCTTTGAACAATTTTTGTTCAAATATTATCTCTTCAAATATTATTATAATATTATTTAGAGTCAATTGTAATTGACTCTAAAGTTAACACTATTAGCATCAAATGGAAAAATTTCTGAAATTTTAAAACCACTTTTAACATTATTTGCCATAAAAGGATCAATTATAAATAAATTTTATGCCTCTGGTAAACTTTCTTTGTTTACTTTCTGTCCTTTATTGTCAATGCGCTATTGTCTGCAAAATGATTTCCACTTTGCTATCATTAACCCAAAAACTGCCACATAGAGCGGCTTAAAGATATGTTTTGATTGGGGAACAAAGCAACAAAAATTATTCTATTTCTGGAGCAAAACTCACTCAGTTCAATAGAAATGATGTATGATCATCAAAAAATAACTGGTAAAAGAATTTCTTCTTTTATCAAAAATGGATGAAAAATGTACAAACAGCTTATTTAAAATATACTCAAAAAAACATTCTGTGGTCATACAAACATTTTCACTTTTTTTAATGCTCCATCCTGATGGAACAAAATTTATAATTCTATTTGGAAGATCGTATTTAAAAATTGTTAATGATGAAGCAAAAGTTCCTCTGGCATTTACTGCAAACCAGGGGTGTGGAGTCGTAAAAAAAAAGTAACGACTCCGAATCCAGTTGTTGGAATTTTTTGAGTACAACTCTGACTCCGACTCCAACTCCAAAGCAAAATTTTTGAAAAATTCTTTGAATTCTTAAAAAATATTATGCGATAAGTTGATAAATTTTTTTTGACAAATTTATGAAACGTTCTATGAGGTTTAGTATAAACATAAGGTTAATTGAATGCTTTATACATGCACGTGCAATACCGAGAAGTTTTACTATTGGAGTTGGAGTCGCGATTTTGTCTAGCAACTCCGACTCTACTAAAAATGTCACAACTCTGCAACTCCGACTCCACAGCCCTGCTGCAAACAAGGCTGTAATGCTACTTTGATCAATTTCTTCATATGTATTCTTTCCTCATTCACCAATTTATGACTTTTTGGTGACAAAAGCCAATCTTATCCATATTAAAAATGAGCATGGAATCATTTAAATATTGAGCATTTTCTACAGAAAGCATCAGAATTTCAGCAAACCAATCTTTTAAAGCTTTTTTAGTTGTTTTGAACAATTTTTGTGCATGTTAGTAACCATTCAACTAACTTATTTTCAATGTGTTCACCAAGTACTCATTCAATGTGTTCACCAAGTACTCATTCAATGTGTTCACCAAGTACTCATTCAATGTGTTCACCAAGTACTCATTCAATGTGTTCACCAAGTACTCATTCAATGTGTTTACCAAGTATTCATTCAATGTGTTCACCAAGTAGTCATTCAATGTGTTCACCAAGTACTCATTCATACTCTGGTGCTGTATCTTTAAAGAATTTCTTCCGGATATTTTATCATGAAGCGCCTGATATGGAATTTCAATCGTCTTGCTCGCTTTTTACACAATCATACCTTTTTTAACAGCATTAAAAGCATCACGTAATAGACTCTCTGTATTTAAGTCTTGGTTTTAAACAACAAGCTTTTGTTGTGTAATTGTAAAATAACCGTAAATTTAAATTGTAAAAGTAAAACAATATTAATTTATATTGTCAAAAAGAAACACGTTGATTATTCATTGGACATATGGAGTTATATTTTTTTATTTCATACTTGTTATACCTTAAAAAATACTACATTTATACTATTTATGATTAACTGATTTACTAATATTAACAATGATTCATGTTTTATTTACCTGATTAATTTCAATTTAGAAATTAAATTATTTGTACATATTTTTAAATTCCCTTATTTTATTTGAAATGCTTCTAACAATTTTTATAATGCTTTTATATGTATTTTACAATAAACCCACCGAGTTCATAAAAGTAACTATTTATCAATAGATTCAAATAGAAGTGTATGACAATGTTGTTCATACACAAAATATAAATATAATAAATAAACAACTACTCATCGCAAAAGTTCTGTTAGTAATTGAAAACTATGATAAGTGTCAACTCACAGTAGGTGTGGAAATAACTTTATTTCACTTTCTATTTATATTAACTTTTTAAATATTAATAATATATTACAATTAAATTTGGGTTAGGGAAGGTATTATCTAGATATAAAGGACTTTAAAAGACAAAATAAAATTTATTTAAGGCAAAAAAAACAAAAAAAAAAAAAACAATGTTTTTTTTAATATTATTTTTTATTTTGCTTTTTTACCTTCTGAAAACCTTTTTGGATTTATGTATACATTTTTAAACTTCTAGTGTGAAAAATATATTAGGACAATAACAATTTAAATATGCAAGAATAACTCTCTCTCTCTCTCTCTCTCTCTCTCTCTCTCTCTCTCTCTCTCTCTCTATATATATATATATATATATATATATATATATATATATATATATATATATATATATATATATATATGTATGTATATATGTATTTATATATACATATATATATATATATATGTATATATGTATGCATATATATATTTGTATATATATTTATATATGTATATGTATATATATATATATATATATATATATATATATATATATATATATATATATATATATATATATATATATATATATATATATATATATATATGTATATATATGTATATATATGTATATATATATATATATGTATGTATATACACATATATATACACACACACATATATATATATATATATATATATATATATATATATATATATATATATATATATATATATATTCATGTATGTATACAGATTGATAAAATAAATTAAAAATTTTTAGACTTCAAGTTAAAAATTTTAAGACTTCATTATTATTATAAAAAATAAACAAAAAAAGTAAAAAAAAATTGTATAAAAATTGCTTATGTTTTAAAATTGTTTGTGAATATCTTTATTAAATTAATTTTGAAGACTCCAAGTATTTTCTGAGATATGCTAGTCCTAAAGGCTGTCGTTTTCCAATGTAATTTACTAATCGAGTTGGTAAGCGTCCACCAAAGTCAACCTACATTTAAATAAATAATAAAATTTAACTCTTTTTCAACTCGTACTTAATAAAAATTTAACTCGTACTTACTAAAAAAGAACATAACATGACAGATAAATACTTCTTAATAATAATGAATGTTACTTATATAAATTTTATAATAATATAATTAATTATTCTATAGACACCCTTGCATAGATATGAATGTTTTCAATAATATTATCTGTCCTTCAAAATATACTTAAGTATGCTGAAATAAATCTTACAAGGTGATTTTAAAACTTGTTATAATCAAAAAATCACATTGTGGTATTACATTATTTAAATATACTTTTTTATAATATTTGCCAACTTTATCACTTTTGCTAAAAAAAATTACTTGCAACTCTTCTACCATAACTGAAAATATTTTTTTTAAATTAACTATTTCGAAAAATTGACAACTACTGTTTTTAATTACATAGTCTATTCTTGTTTTAAAAAAAAACATTTCTGAAATTTTATCTTACATCAAAATTGAAGCCAAGAAAATGATTATGTCCAATCAGCATGTACACAAAAACAACTTCAACAACATTGTCAGAATCAATGTTGAATAATAAATGACATTAGTCTTTAAGGTTTATAAAATGTCTTAATATATTGACTCATTTAATTTATGATGTTATAAATGACAGTTGTATTTTTGTACGTATACAGTAAAATCAATTTTATGGGATTGTTTTTACAGGTTATAAGCTGGTGTGCTTTTTTAATGTGTTTTAAACATTTTGAGAGTTATGTGTATGAACAGCAATTACTATGGTTACATACATTAGCTGTGTTGCATTTATTTTGGTGTACAAATGCAATTTGTTTATCAGGTCAGGTTATCCTGTTACTGGTAACAAGTTACCCAGTACAATCTGCTTTATGTCCTGGTGCCTTGTAGGATCTGCTTTTTTTGGCAAAGGCTAGGAGAAGCTAATTCCGACTTACAGCCTCTGCTTTGGGGTCTTTAATTAAGTAAAGGCTAGAGATGGTGTCTCGATAAAAATACTCATTTTGAGCAGATGTTAAACACATCCGGCTACTGTCTTGTAGAAGGTCTTCTAGACAAAGACTTAAGGGGTAAACAAATTCTATCTGTTGACCAGCCTCGCACTCCTTCTTCATTTGTTAGGCTGGCGCAGATATATTTTTAATACATTTTTTCCATTTTAGGGTGTTGAATGCTGGATCTTTTTGACTCAATGCACAAGTTTTGCTTGTGTCTCTGTTTTTATGACTAAGCAACTCATTCTATTATCTCCTAATGAGGGTACTCTCGAAAACTCAGTTTTATGGTTCTGAGGCCGGCTGGTAGTCAGGTTTCCCAAACTCTGTGGTAGCTCTCAGAAAAGCTGATTCCAACAACAGGTAAAAAATATCCAAGTACTAACAGCGCTATGTTGCGCATGGATGGTGTCCCTGTTTGTACTTTTGGTTCAAACAGGGACACCATCCATGCGCAAGGGACGGCTTTATTTTTTTCAAGAACACATTTGAAGCCCTTTGTTACGACTTAGGGTTTATCACTGGTAATGAGGCAATTGCTTGGGCTATTAAACAGTGTACTGAGTATGATCTATGCTTCAAGTCAAGTTTTTTAACAAATTTAAAAATAAATAAAGTACCAAAAACTATAAAATACAAAAAACCATCGTCATCATCAAGTTCTTAAAACCTATCATTCATAATTATTTGTGTTCTTTGAACTTTTCTTCTCTATCTCTAGTCTCATCTCTTGCTAAGTTCACAAGACCTGCTCTTTGTTGCTCTTTGTGAGACTAATTTGAGTTCAGCTGTCTCATCTTGTGATCTTAGTGTTGATGTTTATTTTACTTTAATTCGTAAAGACTCCAATAGTTATATGCTTCAAGTGGGGATTTACATCCGTAAGAATTCACCAAGTTGTCAGGAAACTAGGTTTGAATCCACAGACTATTCTTTTATGTGTTTTCATTTAGCACTGATTCACTTTTCTCTTTGTTCTAGATTAATCTCCTTAATCTCAAGACTGCACTCTTTTTGATGTTATTTCTAATCAAATTGACAAAGCCCTCTCTTTTTATCCATCAGCCAATATTGTTGTTGTTGGTGACTTTAATGCTCATCACACTGTATGGCTTGGCTGTAGTGTCAGTGACTCTGTAGGCAATAAAGCCCACATCTTTTGCCTTTCTCAATCCCTAACACAAATAGTCAACTTTCTAACTTGCTTTCCAGACAACTCGAATCATTCACCTTCTCTACTTGACTTATGTCTTGTTTCTGATCTTAGTCAGTGCTCAGTCTCTCCATATTCAACCTTAGGTGCTTCTGATAACAGTTCTCTGAAACTTTAATTTTATTCTTCTTCATCATTTAAATCTCCCTATCATCGTACCTCTTACAACTACCTTGAAGCTGACTGGGACTCTTTTTGTGATTTTCTTTGTAATAGACACCTTGGGTAGAAATCTTTCTTCTTCCTGCTGATAAAAGTGCTTTTTGTCTGAACAACAAACCTGTTATAATCTTGCAGAAGTGTTCCCTAGAGCTGTCCTCTATATTTTCAAAACTATTTAACAAGTACTTATCAGAGTCTTGTTTTTCAGCCTGCTGGAAAGCGGCATCTGTTATCCCTATTTTCAAAAACTCTTGAGAATGATCTGACTTGTCTAACTACGGTCCCATTTCTTCCTATCATAAGCAAGGTTTTTGCTTTTGACATTTCTAAAGCTTTTGATAAAGTTTGGCATGCTGGTCTCCTCCATAAGCTTTCTTCTTATGGTGTATCTGGTAATATTATAAAGATTTTTCAATCCTTCCTTTCCAATCGTACTATAAAAGTTGTCCTTGATGGACAGCACTCTTCTTCAAATTCTGTAACTTCAGGGGTTCCTTAAGGTTCAATACTTGGCCCTATACTCTTTTTAATCTACCTTAATGATCTTCAAGATATTCTCAAATTTAAGGTGGCATTGTTCACTGATGATACATTGATATACACAGATGATACCATTTATTCTTGTCATGATAAGAAGCCAACACTCTCTAATTGCTTGGAGGGGCATTTAAGCTTGAAAAGGGTGTCAATTCTGCAACAGCATGGGGCTCACAGTGGCTGGCGAACTTTAACTCAGATAAAACTCAATTTTTTTAGCCAATTGTTATTGCAATAATTCAGATCTTCCTATATTTATGAATGGTAATGTACTCAATAAGTCATCTACCCTTCATCTTCGAGGACTAATTTTTACTTTTGATCTTTCTTGGAAACCAATATCAAATCCATTGCAAAAATAGAATCTGCTAAGGTTGCATCTCTTTATAGAGCTTGACACTTTCTTACTCCGGATTCTATTCTCTTTCTCTATAAATTTCAAATCCGGCCTCGTATGGAATACTGTTGTCATACAAGGTGGATCTTCTAATAATGTCCTTTTTCTTTTAGACAAGGTGCAAAAACTATTGTAAACATAGTTGGACCTGCTCATGAAGCCAACTTTTAATCATTATCACATCGTCATGTTGCTTCTCTTTCTCTTTTCTACAAATACTATAATGGGCATTGCTCTAAAGGGCTAGCGCCTCTTGTGTCATCTTCTAAGAATCACTCTTGTGTTACTCGTCATTCAATTAAGCCTCATCCTTTTTCTGTGACTTTTTCTGTGACTTTTTCTGTGACTGCTCCGAAAACTCTTATGCCTCTAGTTTTTTTCTTTGAACATCAGGTCTTGGGAATTTGCTTCCTTCTTCTTGCTTTCCTGATTCATATAATTTGCAATCTTTTCTGTTTGTCTGTTGCTTTACAAACTTCATCTTTTCTCTTCCAATAACTTCCAACTTCAATAGTGGTTGCTTACAGCCTTGTCGGATGTGAAGATATTAAAAAAAAAAAATTTGTGGAGGTTAAAATAAATTTTATGGTTATTAATATCATCACTTGGTAAAATATGTAAAGATCGAGACTGTTGGGACAAAGAATAGCTGAAAAAAGTTGAGTTTTATCTGAGTTCACCAGCCACTGAAAAGTCCATGCTGTAGCAGAAGTTCCTTTTCTAGCTCAATTGCCTCCTCCAAGCAATCAGAGAGTGATGGGTTTTTATCAAGACAAGAATAACTGGTAGTTTCATGAGCAAACAATGCCACCATATATGTGAGAATTTGTTCGAGATCATTAATGTAAATTTAAAAAAGTATAGGACCAAGGATAAACTTTGAGGAACTTCTGAAGTAACAGGAAATGAAGAAGAGATTAAATAAATTAAAGATACCTGAAGTTAAAGGAAATGAAGAGTGCTGTCCATTGAGGACAACTTTTATACTATGATTGGTAAGAAAGGATTAAATAAATTATTTCAGAGTAAATACTCAATAACTAATGCAAACTTATTAATAGCTAGATAGGTAGATAAGTAGATAGATAAATATGGATAAATATAAATATACAAATAACTTTTACTAACTTATTTTACTTAAAATTTCATTCACCAAAAAACTATCCTTATGTACATGTTAACCCTGAACAGATGTAATCAAAGAAAAAAATTGAAGCAAAGCTCATAGGGATAAGGAGAAAATCAGGCAACTAAGGTGCGCACACTATTATAAAATCATCATCAAGTCAGAATTGGATGTTGTTGCAATGCGCTAATCGAAGGATTATCACTTGGCCTTTTAACTCAAAAGCTTCATATAAAAGTTTTCATATAAAACAAAATCCAAAAATTAGAAAAAAAAAAAAACCTTGATTTATTTAAAGTTTACTCTATAAAAAAATTTCAGAAATTTTTATAAAAAAAATTTTATTTCCATAACTTTCCATAAAACTTTTTATAAATAATCAATATACATTTTCTCAAAACCTTTCAAATGCCAAAAACCTTTCACCTGTGTTCTTCACTTTCTTTATCATGTGTTATAATTTTCATACTCGATTTAGAATGCTACTCGGTGTAATTAAGGCACTTTTAAAATATTATACGTCTGTATGATATTTTGTTGACTGCGAC